CGAGTCTTCACCAGGGCCCAGCAAATCTTCCCCAGTGCCTGGGGAGTCTTCACCAGTGTCTGACAACGCTCAGAACACCCAGATCTTTACACTTCTACTGACTTCTTCTACCTCAACTTCTGCAGCTACACCTTCAACCTCTACATTTTCAACTAAGACCTCTAATGCCCCTCATCCACCTCTACACACGAGTGACTTACCTAAAATTCCTACACGGGTGCTGCCGGAACCCTCTTCTATGCCCCCTCCACCTCCTGCAATAATCAGATATAGGGGACAAGGTACCTCGTTTAAGTATAGGTCATCAGTGCCTGCAACTTTCAATCAGCCTCAATGTCCAGAACTCCCACCCTCTCTGAAGATCTTCTCGCCTCAGTACCTCACCTCAGCCTTACTTGAGGTTAAAAGAAATTATGAATATATTTTCAGTAAATCAAAGGATGTTAAGATGAAGCCTATTGTGAAGGAGGAACCAGCTGAGCCACTGATGGTTTCTAAAGATGAGCAAACCATCACAAACAAAAAGGAGAGAATTGCATATGACCTTGAGATTGTACTCTGATCAAAGCAGTAGTACAAAATGTATGACTTTTAAAACTGTGATTCAGTCCTGCACTTCAGATGCAGTTTGACATGTTTGCCTGAACAGAAAGGATTCACATTTCACTACTACTAACAGCAGGACTGGGTCTTTGTAACAGAATGTTAATAGGCCAATCCTGCACAGTCATTAGTCTGTTTGGTAGATTTACTGCTAAAATATAGACTCATTTGGGTTGATTTTACCATTACACTGCGTTTTTCCCACCTGTGGGATAGTTCTGTTTTTTAACCTTCCTGTAGTGCTCACATAAGTATACTTCAAATGAGGGCTGTACAATTAATACATTTCAAACTAAAATCTCGATTTAAAAAAGAAATGCAACAAATAACAAATTTCACCCTATACATTATATATTATGCACAAATTTAGGCTATACATTGTGCAGGGTTTCAGCTGCCATGGCATTGGTTTTTCAAATTCATGCCATCCTCCTTGTGTAGATCAACAGATACAGTATATGCTGTATTGTCTCCGTGGGGAAATCTAAAAGTTACAGTCATGCTCTTCATGGTATCTCATGTGATTATGCTCTGTCACATGTTGCAAGTTTATTACAGAGTGAATAGGGAACAGACGCACAATTCACATTGTATTATCTATCTGTATTTCCCTCACATTGTTCAGCCCTACTGCTAGTTATTGGTGCACACCTTACTTCACTATCGATCTACTCTTAGTTTGGCCTATTTCGGTTCAGCACGTTGATATATTTTAAGCAAGTTACTCAAATGCTGCTATTTTGTATTTAGAAGGAGCTCTGTACTTTTGAGATCTTTCACATTTGTTTTTGTCACTACTGTTGGGTTAGTTTTGCTGTTATGTATGTTGAATGTAACTGACCTGGACTGTAAAACTGCACCAGGTGGCATTTAGGCTGCAGGCTGTATCCTGTACTTGGCAGTTTTGTGGGGTAATAATCACTTTAGTCTGTCAGCAAATACACTGGAACAGGAATAAGAGTGTTATCTTGCATCATATCTGATAAGACTTTCCACTGAATACACTAAAATGTCCCATCTACCTCAGATAACTGGAGACACAAAGACATCTGTTTTTTTTTTTTTTAAGTACATAAATATACTGTGCTGAATGTCTTCAAATATGTACACAACCGTAGCAGTTTCACTACTCACTATACAGATTTTGGGGCTGCAGGGTGGCGCAGTTGGTAGCACTGTTGCCTCGCAGCAAGAACGCCGACAGTTCGCATCGGGATCTTTCTGCGTGGAGTTTGCATGTTCTCTATGTGCAGCGTGGATTCTCTCCGGGTTCTCCGGCTTCCTCCCACACAGTCCAAAAACATGTTGAGGTTAATTGGTGATTCTAAATTGTCTGTTGGTGTGAGTGTGCTTGGTTGTCTGTCTCTAAGTGTAGCCCGCAACCCCAGCAAGGATTAAGGGGTGTATAGATAATGGATGGATGGATTATACAGATTCTGTAAAGCGAGGCCGCAAAGTCACTGTCTTTGATGTTTAAGTTTTAAAAATGATTGTTAACAGATCAGCTTGATCAGATTTTTTAATCCACTTTATATGAGTTTCAGTCACTACAGTCAAATGATGACAGTTTTATTAATGTGTGTCCAGAATGTTGTCTTTGCCTCATGGCCACTGTCATAACATTTGAGCCTTCAATAGCATTACAAGACACTAAAGATTTCCTTTTAAAGTACACTAATTGTAAATGACATGTTGCTGGCTGTACCTAATCTACATATTTGATTAATGAAATTAGATGTATTGGAGTTGAGGAGACATTAAACTGAATAACAGCAAAGTCTTTGCATTTGTTGCTTTGACTGTGCATCAAAACAACATTGTGTTCATGTTTCGTTCTCACTTAGATACGGAGAGACAAGAGAGTTGAGAAATAGACTGTGAAATAAGTCTTAACTGATATATTTTCTGCACATGGCATGCTGAAACAGAATATCCGTGCAGTTTTTGTATGATTTTTCTTGAACCTACAGAATTCACAGAGTAAATAATTTTGTGGCCAAACCGTACAAGATTTGCGGGACTAAAAGCATCTTCAGATTTATCCTGATGGTAACACTGGAGGGATTGTGAAATTGACCCAAAAATGTCTGCCTACTTTTCTTGGACTGCCCTCTTATCACTGTGTCATATTAAATTAAAATCGCCTGCTTGCTCTGTGAGCTGGCATCCAATCCGAATGCACAAAAATGCCCACAGTACAATAACAATAAGGAGCCTTCATGCTTTGATTTCTTCAGCCTTTTTTGTCATTGTAGTGTATGTGGCAGTTGTTTTTCAAACAGTAGTTGTTGTTTTGGGGTTTTGTTTTTTTTTTTACTTCAACTGCTTCTTGTTTTTGAAGCTTAACAAAATGACACCGTTGCTCAATAATGCTAACTGCCTAAGACCCATCTGTACAGGAAAAGGCTTATTTGTTTATGCAAGGGAATTGCTTCCATTTAAAAACATTTTATATAAACAACTATTGCCAGGTGGAGATTTAGGCCAACATTGATTTAAAAAGTGCAGACTTGATGGATTGTTGTCCTGTAGCATTCACCAATGGCAGGATTTAGTTTGATTCCTGGATCCTCCTGTCTACGTGATTAAGTGTTTTTTGGTGCCCAAAGGATAGTAAATGAGGGGCAACTTTGTAAATTCTTTCAAGGTAGAAAAGTGCCATATGTGTGCAGTTCATTTACCATTTAACAAACCATGTTTATACTTCATTGATGAGTAATGACATGTATAACTGCAAAATTGAAGGTTTTTTACTAAGCATGTACTCCTCATTCATGACTAGTTGGTATATTAGTAAGTAAAAACTACATGACACTAACTGCTTAACTTAGAATTAGAATTATTAGAATACCAACCTTCAAACAGAAAAAAACACAACAGCCAAAGGGGTTTCTACAACTCCTTATACTTATAAACCCCTAATTTCAAAATGCAATTCATCTATACAGCACATTTAAAACAACCTGAGCTGACCAGAGTGCTGTGCATGTTATCAGGCAGCAACAAAATTATGAGCAAACATCACGACAGGATGGGATTTGTAAAAACCAAATTGTAAAACAAAATTGCGCAAAATCCTAAAACAGGCAAAGCAGAATAACATCTAGTAAGATAAATTTCTTGTAAATATGAAGTGTTAGTAACATTAAAAACAAAACTTTGGAGCTGCTGCTGTAAAGATTACAAAAGATGACAGAAGTTGAAATGAGGATCTGAGACAACTAGAGGTGGAGTAATGGCAGAGAAGTTCAGAAAGGTACCCAGATCGCAACCTATGCATAGCTTTATAAACAAATAAAAATTATTTTAAAATCATTTCTGTAGTTAAGCAGTTCTACATTCATTTAGCCAGTGCAGGGATGCTGATACAGGTGTAGTGCTATCCATATTTTAGTAACATGTAAAACAGAGAAGACTGAGCAGTAAATAGAGGCAGAGATTTTTGAACAGATTGTAACATTTGGCTCTTATTTTACAGATGTTCCTGGTTTTGTTAAATTCCAGCTATTTGCTAGTACATTCACAGAAAAAAATATTTTAATTTAAAACTAAATTACTCCCCAAAACTGGCAATAACATTCCAATCAAAAATCTGTGTTTTTAATAAATGACACCGATTAAAGCTTCAGCTAGCCATTTGTAGAAATTTTTACTTCCCCTGACATTTATAACACTTAAAATAAAGATAAGATCGACTATGTCAATATTTTAAGAGAACGACTACGGGGAAAAAAATCTATTGTTTTCATTGTATAGTTATTTGAAGACATTAGAATGTCAACATCATTTGTCTTCTTTAGTTTCTCTGTTTTTGTTGTTGTTGTTGTTTTACATCTAAATATGTAGTGTCCCATAGTGACAGTGAAGATGTCTCATGTTGCTACCTGGATCTGTAAATAATGTCCAGTTCTCACTACATATTGTGTTTGAAATGAAGTGATAAATTCTGTGGTTGATTATTCTGTATTTTTTCCTCAGTATGTTGCAGCAGTGGGGTTGTTTACAGAACTGTATCAGTCTGGGATCTGAGGCTATGCTATGATCATGTAAATTGCTCCAGAATACATTAACTCAGTATACGTTAAAAGTCTATTATTTGTTATCACTCGTGTCCAGAGGGTTTTCCTCTGCAACCCCTCGTACCACATCTCGAGACCATCTGCACGCTGTACACGTCCCATTGGTCCGCACGCGCCGGTAATGGTGGGCGACGATTCTGATTGGACGTCTCTCTTGTCGCTTTAGAACAACGACAGCGATGATTGGCTGATGATCCCGGACCAACGCGCCGGATTGGCCGCCGTGTCTTCGCGTGGCTTCATAGTGACAGTCTTAGTGGTGCTGATGCTGTGACAATGGGAGTCATCCAGATATGCATCATCTGGACCGAGTGAGCTTAAAGCGCAGCGGCAGCGCACGGGCTTGACTGACCGAAGGGACGGAGAGGCAGCTGGACACGAGGAGGAGCCTCCTGCTGCTGCTCTGGAAGGGTAAGTTTTTGCCCCAGAAAGCCAACTGTCATGCCCGGGGGCGCCTAGTTGGCTGTTTTTAATGCGGGGGGCTGGGTGAGTGGCTCGAGCAGGGCTGTCAATTCCGCTGGCTTAGTAGAGCAAGGTTAGCAGTCCTTGCCAGATCTCCTGCATACAGTTAAGATGCATTCGCTGTCTGGCAAGTCGCACAGAACACTCGGTGCTGCTAATGCAGCGGTTGTAGGAAGGCAGCTGTGAGTCAACTCAGCCCCTTGGTCGACTGCATTGCGGAGAGAGCATGCCTTGCAGAATAGCATGTGTCTTATATTATGCACACATCTCCCTAAATACAGTGGTCACCATGTTCGTGTGCTGTAGTCTTCACTCTCTCACAACCTCAGATTTCACTCTCACACAGAAATCCATCATTTAAAAAAAAAAGGGAAAAAAAATCCAGTTTGATATTTTTGTTTCAAGATGGAAAGTGTGATTTATTATATTTTTGCTTTTTTTTTTTCAATAGCAAGATATTTCATCATCATTGTTGCACAGATTTGTAGTGAGTTGCTTTGCATGCTGGGATTTGAAGTTTGACGTGAGCTGTCTATGCTTGTGTGCATGAATGCAATACACATTGTTGTGGTCCAGCATTATAGCTATACATGTACACCGATCAGCCACAACACTATCTACAGCTGTCTAATGTTGTGTGGGTCGGCCAAAACAGCTGTGACCCATCAGGCCATGGACAAGGGGGACTCTGAGGGTGTCCTGTGGTGACACTGGCAGCAGCCCTTTGGGTGCTGTGGGTTGTTGATTGGGGCTTCTGTGGATAGTACTGATGCATCCTGTGGTGCTTGATCGGATCAGCCAGGTCAACGCCTAGAGCTCTTGGTCATGTTCCTCACACCATTCTGAGCGTTTTTTTCCCAGTGTGGTACAGCAGCACACTGTGGGCCACTTGTGGATGGCACATGTCAAAGTGATGTCCACAGAACCTGAACCCAAGGTTTCCCAGCTACAGTACTGCATTGTAACCCCGATGGTTTTTAAAGTTGTGGCTAATCGATGTGTGCTAACGTTGTATACTGTTTTGTTGCTTTAAAAATGCAGTGTTCCACTTCCCTTTGCTTTGTAAGTCTAGAGATGGGAGCCTTCAGTCGACAGAAGTTTTTCCAGGAGCTCGCTCACGGCTGCCTGCTGCCCACAGCTCAGCAAGGCCTGGAGCAGGTATGGCAGCTGCTGGTTATCTGCCTGCTGTGTCGGCTTCTCTGGATGTTGGGTGAGAGTCCGGTTACTTTTCGCCCAGTGTTACATATTTTTTATGTTGCTTGCATCATCATAATCATCTGCGCTTTCCTTTTTTTTTAATATATAAAAACTTGCTATGTCAGGTCTCCCCTCTTTTGTGAAACACCTGGGCACGGTGGCTGGAGGTTTCTACACTCTCTACCTGTTCTTTGAGCTCCATATGATCTGGGTGGTCCTCCTCAGCCTTCTCTGCTACCTCTTCCTATTCCTGTGCCGCCACTCTACTATCAGGGGCACCTTCCTCTCCATCACTGTGCTCATCTACCTGCTCCTGGGGTAAGAGATTCCTCCTCTGACACCTCACAGTTTGCACATTCGCACCACGCATCAAGCATGTGTTTGAAGTGAACCCTTTTCAAAGCCTGTGTTCCAGTGACTTTCAAAATTTGCTTCAAGAACTGCACCAAAACTGTGACTACTCTTATTCAATTTCATCAGAGAGCTGCATATGATGGATACCACCAACTGGCACAAGATGAGAGGTAGGCCGCAAATGTTTTATAACAGCATTTTGCATACTTATGATAAAATTATAGTATTTGGGTCTTATTTTGAGCCTTATTTTGGAATCTAGTGACTCTTTCAGTGCTGCTGCTGTCATCCAGGTTCACAGATGGTGGTTGCCATGAAAGCCATCTCTCTGGCCTTCGATTTGGACCGAGGTGTTGTGACCAGCGTGCCCTCACCCATTGAGTTCATGGGCTATATTTACTTTGTGGGCACAGTCATCTTTGGTCCCTGGATCAGCTTCAACAGCTACAAAGAAGCTTTAGAAGGCCGTAAGCTGGTAAGTGTGATTCAGTATCTGTTAAGTATGAAAGAAGGTGAGGGTGCGGATTATTTAAAAGATTTATCCTAAGACTAGCTCTACCTGTTTAAATCTATGTTTTTTTTCCCCTCTTCTCCGCAGAGCTTTTCGTGGCTTTTTAAAGTGTCTGTTAGCTGGGTAAAGAGCCAGGTCTGCCTTGTTATTTCCAACTGTGTAGCTCCCTACCTCTTCCCTTATTTCATACCTGTCTATGGAGACAAGCTGCTACGAAGGTGAGTGGAATACAGAGATACCTGTAAACACATAAAAATCCTGGTTTATTCCCCAGCTTGCATTGCTTGCGGCTTAATTCCTCTGTAAGATAATGCCTCTGTTACCTGCTTTGCTTACAGCAAAAAGAGGAGGAAGATCAGGTAATTAATTGTCCTTTGCGGTGATATGACAACATCGCAGGCATGCTCTCCACATCATTTTCACGTGCTTGCATGCTAACTTTTTGTTTTACCATTTGTGCAAAACCTTTACCTGCACATATGTACCCACACCATACCCCCTCTCTGTGCAGCTACATGTGTACCAGGACACCCCTCTCACCCTCTCATTTACCACACCTGTTTCACCATCTTGAAAAAAAACTTGGTGAGACGTAGATCATCTCAAGGCAAGTCAATGAAACATTTGTATGAATATAATGTAGCACTAACATTGCTCTCTTTATCCCGTTGCTTCTCAGAGGTACACCTGCGAAGTATGTCTTCAATTGTTGTGTAATAATCACTTAATAAAGTTAGAATTGATCTGAATTTGAGTGTAATATCTGTTTGTTTCTTCCTCTCATTGCACCAGGTGGTTGCTAGCCTATGAGAACACCATGTCTTTCCACTTCAGCAATTATTTTGTTGGCTATTTGAGTGAAACTACGACTACTCTTGCCGGGGCTGGCTTCACTGAAGAGAAGGAAAACCTCAAATGGTTCGATGTGCATAAGCAGCATTAACCTAAGGAGTATTTCTCTTCATTTACGTTTATAACAGATCCATTGCCTTTGGTTTTCTAGGGATATGACCGTATCCAAGCCGCTTAATATAGAGTTTCCCCGGTCGATGGTGGAGGTGGTAACATCGTGGAATCTGCCCATGTCTCGCTTCCTGCACACCTGTGAGTTATAATGCTAACAGTGATTGCTTAATGGCAGCAGCTGTTTTTTCGTTTATTGCTGTCATTATGAACAGAACAAGGAAGTCTCATTTAAACAGTTGTTCTCATGCAAGATGGCTTTTTCCTCTCACAGATGTTTTTAAGAGTGCGCTCAAATTTGGGACATTCTCCGCCGTTATGGTGACATACACAGCTAGTGCCCTTCTGCATGTGAGTACTTTGTAGAAGTCTGACATAACTTTGAAACTGTTTGGTCAACAAGTGTGTGTGTGGGTTTTTTTTGTATTATTTTAACGGTAACTCTCGTGTTTGGTAGGGTTTAAGTTTTCATCTGGGTGCAGTGCTAATATCTCTGGGGTTCATCACGTACATTGAGCACGGTAAGAATCTGCTTAATGTATTTCTCTTTTCCACATTAGAACCTTTCCATTTTGAGAAGGTGCTTAGCCTTGCAGTAATAGTTAATTGCACCCTCTATGACACACTGTTTCTGTTCACTGCAGTGCTTGCAATTTTCCTCTTATGGTTGGAAAGGAAGTCTTCCTTTCGTCTTATTTTAACCCCTTATGGCCCGATGGAACATATGTGTGTACTTGCATGTGTGTTCAGAGGGCATCTTAGGTCTTAGTGGCCTAATGCATTTGTCTTGTTTTCCGTTTCAGTGTTGCGGAAGAGGCTTGCAGTCATTTTCAGTGCCTGCATACTGTCAAAGAAATGTCCGCCAAACTGCACTCACCGGAACAAAAAGGTAACATGCGCCTTTCTTATTCTTCTTTGTTTTATTTAAACAAAGACCGTGTCACTGGTCAAAAATTCAGATTTGCATTAATGTTAAAGGAATAGTTCAACACCAAGTTAGAATTCTCATTCGTCTCCTTGAAAGATGAGAAGATTGAGAGCACTCTCATTGCTGTATGATAAATATCAAGCTGCAGCCAGGAGACAGTGAGCATAAATTAGCAAGAAGACAGAAAGCAGCATGGCTCAGTTCCAGCACCTTGAAAGCACTTTTAATCAACATATTATATCTCATTTTTTAAAAATCAATACAAAATAATTAAATAACAAATAGTGTAGAAAAAATAGATTTATTTATTTTTTTTAGGTTTGGTTATTTTGCTGCACTCAGACGGTTGTAAAGGGTTCTTGGAGTGTCTACTTGCTTCCAGTCTTTATGCTACGCAAAACTAAGACTCTTGGCAAATAAGCATTTTTCACAAATTTTTCAGATTTCTACATTTTTATTGCATTTTATTTTTCTGTTGCTTTAGTTTTGGTTTTTATTCTAATTTTGATTCTTTTACAGTTCGTTTTATGTTTTTTTCCTGTTCTTCTTTTGTTTGTTAGTTGTTCTTTGTTTTTTGTCAATATTCATGCTGCACAAATACAAACCTTAATTTCTGACTAAGCCTGTGGCTTATTTACATGTTTCATACAGAGTCTGTATTTCTTCCAACTATTTCTGCACATGGCCATTACACTGGCATTGCTGACACCTCCTACCAGAGCAGCAGGTGATCAAAGTGGACCTGCTTCTGGCCTCAACACCTAACCTGTTTAACCTGTGGTTAAACTCCACATGAACAGAAATATGACAGTTAAATGCCCTTATCATGTTTCATTTCGATGCAGCCTTTAATGGATGGATAATAACAGCCTAAGTGGCTATCGTATTGGGAAATCTAAGTACATATGTACTTATGTGCTTAATGTATTACTGAAGCAGTGTGGACATCAGGTTTTAATGCCAACACATCTGCTGCAGTTAAAATGCAGCAGCCCCAGAGGTCTGCCTTGTGCTGTCAACTGATAGAGTTTGGGAGTTTGCTGGCAAGATGCCTGGCAAAAATCTGGTTACACACATCAGAGCAGCAGGGAGGGGAAACAATGATTTATGCCAAGGAAAAGCAGCTTGCGTGAATCACGCTCCACACACATCACAATTTAGGGCTCAATGCACTAAAGCTCCTGAAATCGTGGGTGTTTTCCTTCACAATATTCAATAAAGTCTGGTGAAAAAAGTTAATATTTACTAAAAGTTTACCAGTCCAACACTCTAAGATAACCCTCTTCATCAAGACTGAGCAAAAAAACTAATTTAGAGAGCTGGTTTTCAGAACTTCAAGAGAAAAAACCCCAACACAAATTGCATGAAAAGTTGCCAGAAATATCGATCGAGTGAATTCCTTTCTCTTATGTAATGCTTTCTCTCTGTGCAGGAGCTATGGGTGTATATGATTAACATAGCGTTCAGTGCTTTGGCAATACTCCACTTGACGTACCTGGGCTCTGTGTTTAACTCCAGCGTGGACTACATGGAGGAGGATGAGGTAAGAGAAGGCTACCTTGAAGAAAATTCACTTTTTGAAGCAGTAAAGCAAAGCCAAAAAAGTAGAAAGCATAAAGAGCGTTGTAAAATAACAAATAGTACATAGTAATACATCAGGTAAAAATCATTCAAAAGCTTTAGATAGTATGTACATTCTAATACTTGAACCTGACCTATTAAAGTGGAATTGTGACCTACTGGAGGTCACAGCATGTTAAGTGTATAGCTGCCTATATTTATACAACCTCTCAAAAAATGCACAGGACACTATGTGACATATGAACATGTGAAATGCTGCGTGGGGATGTAACCTGAGCTGCGATATTTATAGACGCCTGATAGAAAGATTTACAGTTTTGTTTGATGAGGGCCTTTAGATCTAAATATGTTCAGAGAGTGTGAACAAAGCAATGATGAATCACATTTTCCGTCAAGATGTTCTTACTAAAGGTATAAATATTAATGTGCTTTGTCGTGCTGAGCTCACGTAGTGCGTCCTGCCCCCTACAGGACGATGTCACCCATCATACCATTCAGAAGTGGTCAGAGCTGAGCTGGACGAGCCACTGGGTCACGTTTGGATGCTGGATTTTGTACCGCCTCATTCTCTAATGATAAGAGACAGAGAAGGAGCGAAGGAAGCAATAATGAGAGTTGTAAAGCCGGTTCTCCACTCCTGCCTGCACTGTGACTTTCTCCTGACCGAAGAGAACAGCATCAACCCGTGTACAACAATAACCTGAACGCCGCGTGTCGGCTGAGTAATCTGCTCTCCTAACCTGCTGAGGACTAGTTTTGATATCCATGAAATGACAGCCCGCTCCTCCCTTTTCTTTTCTTCCGTATCGCATCCTTTTTATCTGAGCCGCAGTTGTCGAGCCCTCATGTTGTGACAGCAGTAACCGATGTCTCACTGTGAGTCGCAATCGATACCTATCAGCATGGTGGAGATCGGCTGCTCCTTTCTTCGGACACATGATAGAGCCCATTATCTAGGTTTCAGCGTCGACCGTGGCAGATGTCCTCCAGATGTGATGTCCCTTCACCTCAAGTGTTTTACAATCGTAATTTTAGATTTGAGCGATAACACTGGCGACGTCCTGTAGTCTTCGTGTAGCCTGCAAATCCCATGAAATTACCGAAATCAATAATGCGGTCTCTTAGTACGTTCTGATTTCCCCAGACTGTTCAGTTCAACCTTATTGGTTGAATTCCTGAATCAGCTGTGGACTGTAGTTCTAACAGGCATAACTAGTGCATTTGTGGGGAACTAATTTCAATTTAATATACTTAATAACAGTCAGTGCTTGTTTGGAGCATCGCATTATTGTTAGTTCTTGTCTTTTCATGAGCTTTGTTGGCAATAAGGAATATATAGAGCATCCCCAGATGTATCCATTCCCAGAGCTTGTCTTTCGAGCATGTGTAAGAAAACAAGAGTTTACCTTTGAATGAAAAGAGCACAGGTTATGGTTATGAGGCAGCAATTTTATCGTCACTGGTAATGATTTCCCCTTTAGTGAGTTTTAGATAAAGAAAATGAGTCAGTAGGTCGATGAATTAATTTTTTTCGTGGTTGACTTTTTTGATGGTGTTTGTATTATGTTTTGTGTTACACTGATCATTTAAATTTAATTATTTGCCTTTGCTTAGAGAGGGTCTAGTAACACTCTTCAGTATCTTCAGAACTGAAAATAAAAGTTTAGAATCAGGGTATTACACGTTTATGTATTGCTATAGAGGAAAAATGTTCAAACTTCTCTTTCATTTTCATATTACAGATTCAAAATAAAATTATACGGTACACTATATTAAATATTTATCCTTAAGTACAGATTTTTATGACACAGCTGCTTTTAATGATGCATTTATGTAATTAACGATTACCTGATGAAAGAACGTGAGTGTCTGTATCAGATTGTGATCACTTTCTGTCTGTATCTTTCTTAAATCTAGAACGCGAAAGCATTTGATTCTTGACTGAGACATAGTGTTAGTTTAGAGCCTGAATGTTCGTTCATGCCTGAGAACAAGTGCTCAGTCTCTGCAGACCTAATACCACTCAACCCAACAAGGATTTTAAATACTCTTCTGATATTTACTTTAGGTAAAACGTTTTGTCCCTGTAAATGTGAAGGCACTAATACACCTGTGATATTTTTATAAAATTTTACATGAAACCTGGAATGCTGTTTTTGTTTATTCAGTGTGAACATTTCAGAGATGTTTGGATATCAGTTAAAATAGATGTCAGACATGTGAAATGCTGTAAGAAATAGCTGTTTATTTGAGTCATTATTTACAAAAAAGAATGAATGCCAGTCGATCGTGGTAGGAGGATGAGTTAGGGAAGGATTCCAAAAGGGTGTTTTGGGGGTTTTTTTTATGCTCAAAGCAATTGTCCGGTCTAACCTGGAGTCTATTTCTGAGCATCCAACGAGTGGACAGTGTGGGGAAGGGGACAGAAAAAGGCTGAGAGGTGGGGGGAAGGAACAACAGATGGTGATGGATGGAGATCAGGTTCTCTTTCTGTCTCTGTGTGAGGTGAGCAGATTCTAAATTGCAAGGCCACACAACAGTACTGCAGTCTGCAGGCTGTGTAGGGAGGGAGTGCGGAGGGGAGGGGTGGGACGCTCAGCCCTGTCTGCCTCGAGGACCCCCGTGTTTACGACGACAGGACCCCAGCAGTGTCTCCAGAGCCATCTTCACGAATGCCTGGAAGTTATTGCTTCTCTCCCTTCGGCTGTCCTGCGAGGGGATAAAACACAGACAGATACCTTCACTGGGGACACAGCAATCACAGCACTTCATTTCCACACTGTGAGCCAGAAACTGGGGATTATTTTGTAGCGCCTCAAACCACAGAAGACCGACATTAATTCAGATTTTTATTTATATTTTATTTTATTTTATTTTTTTAATCGTTTATGTTGTTTTCATGGGTTTGATTCACTTAAAATAACATTTCGGTTCATATAAATGCTTACCTCCTTGCTTCTTGTTATCATCTCCTTTCTGATCACCTTTCTTCGGCTGCTCTTTAGGACTCTGAGGTTGCTGTGGAATCCAAGTAAAAAAAGTGAAGCAGAAAAAAAACAGTTTGAGAGAAGAAAATTAGGATTTTGCACTAGCATGGGAATAATTTTCTTACCTTGGTAGTTGACTTCTTGTCCGACTTATTACCTGAAAATAGTGGAAATATTTAGATGTATGTCAAACATTCACATTTGATGCATCTTTTTTCTTTCATTTGTACTTTACACTGAACATGCAGTTTCAGATAAGTTAAACAAATTTGTAGAAATAATTTTTTATTTCATGCCGCTCACCTTTCGTTCCTGGCATTTTGGCTGTGCTCCAGAGGCGGTCCTGTATTTTGAGAATGCAGTGCTTAATGTGGTGTTCAACTCGGTCATTTATGGCCCGTGCTTGTGAATGGCTCTGTCACTGGGGCCCCTTCGAGAAAGAGCACCGTGAACAAGCAAAGAGCCCCGTCAGCTGAGCAGCATGCCCCACAGCCCTGCAGGTCTTTGCTGAGCCAGGCGAAACCTCAGAGCTGACCTTGTAATACTGCCATTGTGAACCCACTGGAACTGTGCGTTCACCTATTGTGTACGGCAAGAAAGCATTCTCGTCATGCTACAGGCGAGGGTGATAGTGTATTTTATCTGTCATTTTAGAGTTTTAACTGGGCCATGATCTAGATAAGGGACAAGACCTGGATAGAGGATCAGGATTTTGTCTTTAAAAAATAACTAACAAATAATAAGATTTTGCTGTCACATATGGCCACACTAAATTGGTCATCAGCACTGCCAGCACCGTAGGAGTGGAGGGTTTTGGCAGGGATCATAAAGTGATGCTCAAATTTGCCATCCTTTGCATTCTTCATTGTATGAACGATATATTGCCGATATCATTCAATTGATTATATTTTTTCTCCCTCATGGACCACTGTGATCCTTAAAGACACCATTGTGTGCAAATATAATCATTGTTATTAGTTTGTGCTTGTGTTTATGGAGACAAATGGGAACATAATTAATGTATAATGCAGCAATAAATGCTGAGAAGGGGGCATTTCTAGCCCCATAAAACCATAATGTTGATCCATTTCATGCTCTGATGCATACTGTAATCCAATCAAAGTGTGGTCACTGTGGATGTAGCATGACATGTAAACGCTGTGAATCATCATCCGGATTCATGCGGCTCCACATCAGTAAGTGGGCTGGTGACTGGGTCATGTGACTTGACAGGGGAAAAAAAGAAGCAGCGATGGAGAAAAGCTAAGGAAGGTGAGCCGTTTTCAAGTGTATTTCTCGGTGTTTTTTCGTTGTATCACCACCAGACACGTTGTTTAGGCTGTATAAAGCTACTAACTGATAGACTATCTAATTGTATTGGGGGCTGAACGGGAAACAGATTTTTAAAGCAGGGAATCGCAGATGATGTTGTGGCTAACATGCTAACTGCTAGCTAGCGTTAGCTTCGCGACTGTCATGAAGGCTGTTTTTGCTGTTCCTGGATGTGCGCAGACTAAAAGAAAATGCCCAAACTGTTCATTTTCTAGCTGCATTCGATCATTTCGGTTAATTTTAAGCATTACTTTGTGATGTCAAACTCGCATTGCGAAGCATATCTCAACATCTGTGGTGCCATTAGATTCTGCATCATCACCTGATTCAACGCAGTCGATGGGAGGGTGGGGGTGAAATGTCAGTTATATCATAGTAGCAGCTGTGTAGTTAAGATGCATTCTCAGACAGTGCATGAATGTGAAGTTTCTTGGGTAAAGTTGCTACAAATATGAGCTGAGTGTGTTGTGTTTTGACAGGAATCTGCCCTGGCAGTGGCTTCCTCTTTACCCAGAGTGCTTGTGGAATGGCAGCAGTTTGGCAGCAGGTGTTGGCAGTGGACGCAAGGTGAGACTCAGTCAGGCAGAAGGCTGTAATAGTCTACACTGATGAAGAAGCTATTCAGACGTGTAATTGTGTATGGATCATTTCTGAGTTATTGTGTGTGCTGTGTCACTTCTCTCCCTTCCCCAGGTACAATGCTTACCGCACGCCTACGTTCCCACAGTTCCGAACTCAGTACATCCGCCGACGCAGCCAGCTGCTCAGAGAGAACGCCAAGTGTGGCTTTGAGCCAGGGCTGCGCAGGCAGTACCTGAGGCTGCGCAGTCAGCTGCTGGCCCTGCGCTACGGGCCCCTGTCTGAGCAGAGCAGCTTCAGGGCCAGCAGTGTGCGCAGCTCCCGCACCACACTGGACCGCATGGAGGTCAGACCCAAAGAAACAGAAAGGGCAGGGAAAGTAGAAGAGGCAGAATAGACGGGGGTGTCTGTACTAATTGGGAAAAAGAGATATAAAAATATCTTAACGCTGGAAAGCAAATATAGGATATTGCAAATGAGAGCCTTCTGGAAGGCCAAACATTACTTTCTCTCAGTTAGCAGCATAGCAGCAAGCAACACTTTGATTTCCCGTTCATATTAAGCTGAGCAGCTTGGTTGAAATGGCTGGCATTGCCCACGTATATGGGCAGTATCATTAACTTAAAAATGCATGGTAATTTCAACAAAGGGCTGCAAGGTGGCTCAGTGGTTAGCACTGTTGCCTCGCAGCAAGAAGGTCGCCGGTTCACGTCCCGGTGAGGACACCGGGATCTTTCTGCGTGGAGTTTGCATGTTCTCCCCGTGCAGCGTGGGTTCTCTCCGGGTTCTCCGGCTTCCTCCCACACAGTCCAAAAAC